AAGGCTGGGGATGTGGGGTGGAAGGTGACGCTGAGCACAGATGCCCCTCACTGTGCCTTCTTCTTCTCTGCACCCGGCTCTAAAGCACAGGTGAAGCACAGATGCCAGAAACCACGGCCTCGGCGTCCACCCAACTAAGGTCTACGACCGCCGGTCCATGCTGCCTGAGAGTGGGCGGGGCCTGTGATTTCCATACCTGCCTCAAACTCCCAGCACCGGAGAGGCAGACTCCGGCCACCACACCTCTGCCCAGAACCCAGCAGTGCCCACCTGTCTGCTTTCTGTCTCTTTTTCCCTGCCTAGGATCCTGGTGGCTCTCAAGGCCTCATGCCTGAAGAATATTAGGCTCCGCCCAGCCTGCACCTCCAGGACCTGCGGCCCTGCCCCTTCCTGGGCACAGCCTCCCCAGACCTGTCAGCCAGCTGGACTGTCCCAAACCTTCCAGTGGCCACTGCGGCCCTGACAATGGGTCTGCACAGGGCCATGACTGCAGCCCACCAACCCCAAAAGCTTCCACGGAAAATGCCCTGGCCCAGGCCCGAGTCTGGAGGCCCCCACCCTTCACCCCACCGCTCAGCTCCAGGGCAGCCCCGTGCACAAACCACCACCCTCTGCTACCCCCATACTGGGCTGCAGTCTTTGATTTCCTAGAAAAGGAGTTTCTGGAGAACTGGACTCGTGGGAGACAGCACCTCCATTCATAAAGACAGACCTTGCCTCAGCAAGGAGGGCTGGCCGGGCACAGCCACCTTCTGCGTGCCTGGCAAGGGCCGGGGAGGGCCGGACTTGGGGACCAGGTCTCAGTCCTCAAGGCAGTGCTGCGGGGGCTGTGGGAGCCAGCACGTGTTGCTGATGAGAACAAGGGAACATCTGCATAAACCAACAGAAAAAAGCAGAAGCAGGACCTGCCCAGGCCCCAGGGCATCGTTAACATGGTACCTGCCTAGGAGGGCAGCCCTGAGGGAGGGGGCCGGTGGCTGGCTTGTGTGTAAGATGAAACACACGGCAGTGAGTGGCTGGCTTGCGTTTGACTCTCTCACTGCTGGTCCTGTCTGTTAGATCTCGCATGCAGGTAGGTGCACAGGCTCACAGCCTTGCCCTGTACAGGCTGGGACGAGGTTTACCCAGAAATGTTTTAGCTCAGAGACAAGGCCAGGGAGCCTGGAGGCCAGAATTCCTCTCTAACCACCGGCCCCCTCTTTTTACAAAGAGAAGCATTTCTGGTGAGCTCCTCTTCATCCCTCAATACCCTATTCAAGTGCTCCCTCATGGATACATCCTTGCTGAGGTCCCGGCAGGAAGAAGTAACTACACTCTGGGGCCCCAATCTCAATTCCCGCACCTGCGGCGCTGCATGGCTCTCTGTATCAGGTGTTTGGAGTTGACGTTCCCATTCGCCTTCCCTGCTGCCAAGGGCATACACCTTCTTTCAACAGATGAGTGAGAGAGCGAATGTAAGAACATTTAAGAAGCCAACTAATGAACAAGTGAGCAGAGTCAGGTCTGCGCCAGGGTTCCTGGCTCCCGCAGTCACGGAGTGTGGGAGGGTCAGCACGCGCCTTCCCCATTTAAACCCTACTGGAGTTCAGTTCCAACCCAGCCGACGGGGCACACGTTTTCTCTTTAGCAGACACAATTCACATGTGAGGAAACTTATTATGCACACAGAGCAAGAAAAGAGAAAAGCAAAAATTAAATTAGATGGCAGCCTGGAAAATGCCCACTGTGCAAAAAGAAGCAAGCTAACTAATTTGTTTGGCCTCCCTTAAAAATGTTAAGGTTTTAATTTGGGTCTCTGGGACCCGGCTCCTGCGGCACCAGGAGGCTCCTGGTGAGAGGGAAGTGAAGGAGGTTTCAGATGAGCAGACCCAGATTCAATTAGTAATCAATTTTGACCCAGCTCTCCCCACAGGCGTGCAGAAGTAATAGAAAGGACGGGCCTGGCTGTGAACTCCTAGGCTGTGCAGAGCAATGCTCTCCCCCTCCCAGTCTTGGGAAGAATCAGTGTCCCCAAGAAGGCACCGTGGCCACCATGTGTGCTCTGGTGGCTGTAGATACAGGCAGCCGGGAGGGCAGTGGGTGTGGGAGAAGCAGTCCCCTTCCCACTGGCTTGGGACCACCACGTCTCTGCCCTAGCTCGCCCCGGGATCCAGAGCTGCAGAACCTCAGCCTCAGAGCCACAGAGCAGCCCTGAGGCCCTGTGTACCTGCTGTTGAATCAGATGCCTTCTACAGATGCAAATTGATAGATGTGTTTAATAAGGAGGGAAACAAGGCTCCAGTGGCCCGCTCCTCCCTGCCCCAGGTCCTCAAAAGGCACCAGAAGCCTCGGATGGCTCCTTTCTCCTCCAGGGCACTCCAGCAAGCTCAGTCTCTTGCCCCACAATCCCCCTCCCAAGTGCCAAAGAGGTTCCTCACAAGGTCTCAGGGCTGGTGGCAGGAGGGCCAATGGCATTTAGCTGCTGGGTCCAGGGCAGACAGCCAGGGTGGCTCAGCCGAAAGCCCGCCTGGCCCCTGGGTTCTCCCTGGGCATCCCACCTGAGCAGTGCACACAGCCCCCAGTTGCACAGGGCATCTGCAGGCAGGAGAGGCGCCAGGGACAAGGCCTGGGCAGGGTGTGACCCTTCAGCCAAGAGCCCGAGGCTCCCGCCCTTCCTTCCCTTCCTGCAGAGGCCTCACAGGGTTAGGGATCCAGGTAGTGGGCCCAGGGGCAGACTCATAGCCTGTCCTGTTCCTGCCTCATGGTCCTAGGACAGGCTCACTGGAGACACCGGGAGACATCTCAGTATCCGTCAGCCCCCATCCTCCTCACCATACCCTGACTCTGCTGGGACAGCCCTGGAGGGGTCTCTCTGGCTTTGGGGGATCCAGGGCCTGGCCTATCAGCACACCTTCCTCCCAGTGACGCTGACATTCTTATTTATTTATTTATTTCTTAGACAAAGTCTTGCTCTGTCACTCAGGCCAGAGTGTTAGTGGCACGATCTCAGCTCACTGCAACCTCCACCTCCCGAGTTCAAGGGATTCTCTGCCTCAGCCTCCCAAGTAGCTGGGATTACAGGTACCTGATAGCACACCTGGCTAGTTTTTGTATTTTTAGTAGCGATGCGGTTTCACCATCTTGTCCAGGCTGGTCTTGAACTCCTGACCTCGTGATCCACCCACGTCGGCCTTCCAAAGTGCTGGGATTACAGGCGTGAGCCACTGTGCCCACCCGATACCAGCATTCTTATTCCTAGAGCAGCCGCCTCCCCCGTGGGGGCTCAGGATGTCTGGCCCTGTCTCTGTGTGCCCAGCCCTTCCCCAAGGACCTTTACCGGGGCCCACAGAGCAGCTGGCTCTGTCCCTGACCCCGTGTTCTAGATCACAGCACACGGGCAAGGCTACCCATGTCGGGCTCCTGAGCAGAGGTGGTGGGATCTGAAGCTGGGCATCTGGAGCCCCTGCTGGGGCAGTCGGGGAGAAAAGGGCCCCTGACCAGAGTCAGAAAACCTGGACTCCAAATCCAGCCCTGGGAGGCCTGGTGAGCGCCTGCCCTCCACGGGGTGGGCCAGCTGTCCAGGGACACATCTTCACTGGCCCCCGCATCCCGTCCCCGGAAGGCCCGTGCGCCGGGCCTGAGATGCCCACACCCACGTCTTAGTCCAGGATGCCACCCATACAGCTGCCCAGAAGTCTACCCAGGCCTGGAGGGGCTGCCGGCCAGCAACACCCCCAGATGTCCTCCGCCCCACTCCACCTGCCAGGCCCTGCCTGGCTTCACCTGGCTTGGCAGGGCCTCTGTCCCCACCAGGCCACAGCTCCAGGGCAACCCCACAGCAGCCCAAGTCTATGCCCGTCACTCAGGGATGCTGGTTTCTCTCCACCCCAAGGAGGTGGCCTCAGAGCCCCCCACAGAGGGGACTCCGAATGTCACCCATGGAGGACCCTCCGTCCTTGCACTGTCTCCTGGGCAGTAGTCAAGCTACTGCACCTGGAACCAAGGCTTCCAATGCCCCTGGGTGAGGCCCTTCACCCCAAGCTGCCTGGACTGGCACAGGGCTACTGGTTAGGTCCCCAGCAGCCCCCATGTCTGCCCCAGGGAGGAGTCTCCCCACCCGCTCTGGTCACAAGGTGGGGCCCAGCCTAGATTTGATGCCTGCCCTACATGCCCACGCCTGACCTTTGGCTGGTGTTGACACTGGGACACACTGGGCCTTGGGGAGGTCCTGCCTGTGGGGTTCCCGGGTCTCACACTGACCCCTGAGCCTGGCCAGTCACCAGCCGCCTTGGTAAAGGCTACTCTCTCCCCATGGCCAGGCAGAGCGCATGCAGAGCAGACTTCCCTACCAGCGGACAGGCTTCTGCCAGATGCCGGGACAGCCCGTCCCAGGGGCCCCTTTCCCCTCCTGCCCTGTGCCACCCCATAGCAGTGCCCTTTCCAAGTGCTGACTCACAAGGCTGAGCATGGCGCAGCTTGTCAGCAGCTTGACTTCTGCGGGGGGACACTGCTAGCTGACAGCAGGAGCTCACCTGCGTGCTCGGAGGCCGTGGGGGCGGGGACTGTGGCCTGCAAGTCACGAGTGTCTTGGACTGGCCAGACCCAGAGACAAGAAGCCGGGTCCCGCTGGCAGCCTCGGCCAGACCACATGTAGACGACGGAATGGCACCTGGGGACCTCGCCGTCCTGCAGACAGCCCCACTGCTGTCCCTTCCCTCCCCCCAAGACAATGCCAAAGAACCACAGTCTCGGGCCAGAGACTCCAACACATAGGCAAGTAAGGCAGGGTGCCAGCCTCTCCCTGACCAGCCCCCAGGAACTGGAGACCGCACCCCAGCCAGTCCCCAAGAGCTCAAACTCACAGCACCCACCACGAGAGCAGCTGTCTGATGGTCAGGGGTCTGACCTGAGGCGGCGTCGAGGCCTGGGGGCCTTCAGGGAAGGGGTCGTGTCAGGGAAGAGGCACCCTCAGTGATGCCATGCTCAGCACTCGGAGGGGCCCCGGGGCCGCGGGTGCTTACCGTCCACACAGGCGGGCCGTGCTCTCGTGGTGCCGGCGATCTGCCCCTTTCTGCACGCACAGCGGGCGGTCTGCCGAGCAATCGTCCTCCGAGGCTGGCTGCTGTCCCGGTCCAGGGTCACTATCTCACAGGTGCCGGCGGCCAGCTGACCTGCAGAGAGGAGCAGAAACCACTGAGCGGACACACCCTACAGACACCCCACAGCCAGAGCCCACCCACAGAGGGGCCCTCGGTGGCCACGCCACAGGGCAGGGGGCCCGCGTCACTCAGAGCGAGCTTCCGAAAGGGCCTCAAAGGCTGCCAGCAAGGAGTGCTCGGTGGAAGCCAGAACTGGGTCAAATGGGCGACCTCCACTCTGCGCACAGGCTGGCGTTCGGGCGGCGCTGCCTTGGCAGACGGGAAATTACCCACAGCCCCATCTCTGTCACGCCCGGAAATGAAAGGCTCAGATCATGAGGAGGAAGCTGGTTTCCCCGCTCGCAATCGGGTGTCTGCAGGAGGGAAGCTGGGCTGCATGTGGCACACCGCTTGGTCTCCGTCCCCAAACACCAGCACACTGGCCCCAGGATGTGGCACGCTGGTGTCAGCAAACACGTCAGACCCCCTCTCAGCCTTGTCAAAGGCTGTGTGGAACGAGGAACTGCTGTCCCTGCCTGAGTACAGGAGCAGGCGGGCACCATGGTGTGCATCGATGCCAGAGGGTTCAGGGTTTCCTCTGCCCTCCCACAGCCCAGTGCATGCCCACACACATGTGCACCCCTGGAGTGAGCCACAGGTCTGCAGATGTACATGGTGGCACCCAGGTGTGAGCACACCAAGGCCAGATGGCCCAGGCTCACCAGCCACATCCGAGGACATGCTCTCCCAGGTGCGCGCGCCCATGCAGACACAACGCGCCCATGCAGACACAGACACACGCAAGCATCATGGACGTGCTGTGCAGACACCCACCACCCACGGGTGCCTGTGGACAGGCGCCCACAGGGGCACTCTGCATCCCCCATCTCTCCTGTCATCCCACCCCTGCTCCCCATGTTACAGACACCCCGCACGGCAGCGGGGAGGCGGGAAGGATCCTGGAGGCAGAGCCAGGCTTAGGGACCACCTGTGATACAGAGAAGAGACGCATTTCTTCCAAAGGTACCAACACAAATAATTTCCCTGGCTTTCCTCACCCCCACGCCCCCTAAATCCCAGGGAGAAGGCCATCTCTCCAAGGGGCCAACAGCCCAGGCATCTCCGGAGAGGGAAGGTGAGCCACCAGGAGGTTCACTGTGTTGGCATAACGCGGCACGGCCACCGCCAATCAGAGTCAGACATTAACACTGACAAAAATAGCGAAGATGAAAACCAGCCACCCCAGGGCAGGATGGAGGTTGTCCCTCAGCCAGTGCTGCTCAAACCCGCCCTGCATGGTGAGTGCCAGGCACCTGCCATCCAGCTCCATGTGGACACCTGCGCCCTGGAGCTGCCTGGATGCCCACTCACTGGCTGACTCACTCTTTCACCCCGAGTAGGTAATGAGTGCCTGCTGTAAGCCTGCCTCTGTGCAGGGCCCTGGGGCCACAGTGGTGAGAAGAGAGTGTGGTGTCCTCCCCAGGGACCCCTTCCATCTGGGGAAGAAGGCAGCAGCATCACAGCGACGCCTGGACTCAGGGCTCCCAGCCTGTGGGCATCGGCAGAGAGTCTTGGGACTGGCTGGGGGGGCTTAGAACAGGACGGCAGGGAGGTGACTCCCAGGAAGGCAGTGGCAGGTGCATGAGGGATGAGGGGTAGCCAGCCCACCCTTGCAGAGGAGCCTGCAGGCCATGCCCCGGCGCTCCCCAGCAGCCATTTCTTCGGCCTGGGTGCCCCTCCTTATCCATCCTGTCTCCTGTAATAACCTTGGACACCCCCTCCTCCAGCACCTGCCTTGTCACCCATCACCTCTGGATCCCCAAGCCCAGTCCAGATGTCACATGTGCTGGCAGGGTGCAGCTTGAAGGAACTTGGAGGGGCTGCCCAGCTCTGTCACCCCAAGACCCAACACAGCTCAGGCCTGAAACAGGACCACCCCTAAACCTCTGGCCTGCACCCACCGGGAGGCTTCCGAGAGGAGGCGTCAGGGCCAAGCAGGAGCTTGAGCACATCAGAGCGCCACAGCGAGCCGCACCCCAGGCAGACTGAACGGCACAGGCTCTTCTCCCACGGTGCTGGAGGCCGTCATCTGACATCCAGATGGCAGCCGGGACGCGGCCTCTGAGCTGTGGCGACCCTCAGTGTCCTCGGGCTTACAGCCAGCGCAGTCCAGCCTCTGCCTCCACTGCCACACGGCCTCCTCCCTGCATCTCTTCCCTTCCTCTGAGGACACCAATCCTCCGGATCAGAGCCACCCCAGAGACCTCATCTTAACTTCACTACACATGGAAAGACTCTTTCCGAATGAGGCCAGATTCACAGGCACGGGGTTTAGCGCCTGAACAGGATTCAACCCGTAACAGACAGAAAACCGAACTTCGTCTGAAAATCTACGGCTGTCCCACTTGGACGCCCCATCTGTGGGGTGTCCGCGGAGGCCAGGTGTCCCTCATTTGTGAATTCATGGCCAGCTTACTGGACGGCCAGGATTCAGCCAGAGCCCCCAGCCCGGTTCTCCTGGTCTGGCTTCCCACGGCTGCCCCCTTCCACCCTTCCATGGCTTCCTGCCCTGATTATTTCACTTTCTCAATTCCGTTTTCTGCAGACGGTGCCCCTGGAACCCCCTCCTCCTCCACAGCTGAGCTGGGCCTGCACTCAGTGGGGTAGAGGGGGCTCCCAGAGGAAGGAGGGGATGGACATCCCCGGCCATGCCCGCCTCGGGCCCTGGGGACGCCACTGAGCTGTCCCTGGATTTGAGCATCAGTACCCTGAGACGTAGGTCAGTGCTGGCACGCGGGGGGAGGTCTCCGGGAAAGGCTCTAAGAGGGAGGCCGAGTCCCAGAAGCACAAGGCCACGTGAAGGGCCAGGAAAAGGGGCGGGGAGGTCGACCGGCCCAAAATCGAGGCTGGAGAAGACGGAGGCTCTCTGGAATCAGTGGATGTCCTGATACGCTGGGTGGCAGTCCTGCTCACACCCCAGGGTGGGCACTTCTAGCAGGTCACACGGCACAGCAGGGGATCAGATTCCAGATGGGTGTGGCACTCAGTGTCCAGGAGTTAAGAGAGAAGGAGCCTCTGCTGCTGCTGTGAGCTACATCTGCTCAGCATGTCAGCCTGGGCTCAGGAGGACATCGAGTGACCTCATCGCATGCAGGGTCATTGAGGGCATCCACTCTCCTGCATCCGAGTCCGAAAGCCGGGCTCCGAGCCACGTAGGCGGCAGCATTTGACAAGATGAACTGACAGTTGGGTCCTCAGCCCACCGTCAGCACCCAGAGCCACAGGCAGGCGGATGCACCAAACCACCCCTCCTTTCCCGCGGGACATGCAATGCCCAGGACCCAGGCACCCAGACCCTCCACCACTACAGGCTGGGCCACCATCAGCCCCCCTGACACCAGTCTCAGGGGGAAGGTGGGTAGGGAGCCCAGATCCAGGGCTGGGGTGCGGGACTGAGTAGAGGCCCCACCCTGCAGAAACCTGCAGCTAAGCACCCCAGCAGTGATGGCAATGAAGAGGAGAGGACAGGCACGCCTGCCACCCAGCACAGCTGTCTCCCGCTGTGGGAGTGACAGGCCCCCCATCACTGTACCCGCCACAGCCCTGCCGGCAGCACCAGCATTGTCCTGCAATTTCAGAGGAGGAGACCGAGGCACACAACGGCCTGGGACCTGCCCATGGGGATGGAGTGGTGTGGGCGGGGTGGGGGGACAGGGAGGGGCATGACTGTGCAGACCACGCTCCACACACAGAGTCACACACAGGGCATGTACACCCCCCTGCACACAGCATGTACACAACCCCCCAAACTCTCCATCCACTGTGAGGCATTTGGGGAGGTCTCCAGGCTGCAGGGACCAGTTCCTCAGGGTTCTGGCTCTGAGTGCTGGGCAATGCTCAGCCACAACCCAATGCTGATGCCCCCTCTGCTCAAGAGCTCTAACATCACCTCATGCTTAGAAATGGGGGTTCAGAAGGGAGGACGGGCCCACCAGGAGTCAGGAGCTGGGGAGGCCTCGCCAGGGCTGCCTGTGGGGTGGGAGCCCTGAGGCACTCTGCTGTCTGGAGGTACAGGGTAGAGCAGGGTCCCTGGCCGCCACATGGCACCTGCCCAGCTTCTGTAAGAAGGCCATCTGGGAGGTTCTGGGGTCCCCAGGGCTCCTGGCAAGGTGGGACTGTGGAAAGGCCTCCCCACAGGGCTCAGCACAGGCTCCTCCACCAGGTGCCTCCCCTCAGTGTGCTGCTGGCCCACCCACGGTGCCAGCCTTTTCTCGGAGACAGGGGGTGGTGTTTCTTTCTCTTCTCTTTATCTTTTTGTTTTTAAATAAGGAGTTTGCATTGCTTTGAAAACCAGAAGGAAAAAACTCAAAAATAAAACAAGTGACCACAATTCCTTCTCCAGCACCAGCTCCCACAAAGCCCAGGCGGAGGGCGTGGGAGTCTCCACGGAGAAGACATGGGACCTCCACCCTCGGCCTTGCAGGTCCCCGGCCACCTTTCCAATGCGCTGGCCTGGACCAGGGGCTTGCAGAAGGCTCACAGCAAGCGAGGCTGTGTGCACACGCGTGTGCGAGGGGCGGCGTGCGGGGGGGAGGGGCAGCCACCAGCGGAATGGAAAGGAACAAAGCTGCCTTTGGGTGAGTTTTCTTAGAGAGAAAGGCAGTGATGTCATCGTGTGGCAAAAATCAGAAGTTGGAGAGACAGATTTTAAAAAAGAAAGAATCCACCACTCCAGCCCGAAGACACAACCCGACTCCACCTCCCAGGGGTGTGCATGGCTTGATCATGCGAAACCTTCCCATAACTGGTGCTTGCCACCCAGCATTCCACAGAAACCCCCTTCCGTGGAAAGAATGTGGCCACCTGGTATTCTAAGGCAGCAGGGAACCACCAGAGACCATGGGCCACTCTTCCCACTGCCCCTCGGGGTGCCACGGTGCCACCACAGCCTCAGCTTCAGACAGATGCTGTCCCATGGGGCAGACCCCCACCCACACCCCCAACTGGGGAGCCTGGGCAGACCACTTCTCAGG